AAAAAAGGAAATTAAACTTTAGGAGTGTGGCTATCGTGTGAACTAGGAGTTTTGCGATAGAGCAAAATTTACTATTTTTTTGAACGCCTCAAACTTAAATGATAAAATTTTGACTAAAAATCTGAATGTTTTCAATTTTTTTCACTGTGAAGGAGGTATCCGAATACGGATATCCTAGTTCACACGATAGAGATACGCGAGAGGAGCAACCACGAAAAATCGCAACCCGATCGGCCAAGCGGTTTGGCCGCTAGAGTGCCCACCAGTTCGAAAAAAGGCGTTTCGAGAAAAACGCCGTAAAAGTTTTGGGATGCTGACGGAACGCTGCGTACTGCTTCACGCCCTACGCTCTTACGGGCAGGAGAATTCGAATTGACGCACCGGACAAAGTGGGCTGTAATCTAGAGACCATAAGGGATTTTTTGAGCCCAAAATATTTTTCTCCATTTTTTGAGCCCGCTACACTAGGATGCCCCCTTAAGATGTCAGAAAAAAATCACGAAAAAATCAAGGACAAATCTAGGAAAAGTCAATAAAAAATCAGGAAAAAACAAGAAAAAACTGGAAAATTGGTACGCAATTAAATTTTTTGTGCGGGACCCCTTGGCCCCTCGTCGCACTACTTGGCGGCGCCCGTGGCTCAATGAGTAACCACATGTCCCCCTTGTGGTGTCCGCAGGCTGACGCCGACCCCGCCCCGCCATGGCGCTGCTCGAGGCGCGGCCCTACCGGCCGTTCAAGTCCTCGGAGGAGTACCTGTACGCCATGAAGGAGGACCTGGCCGAGTGGCTCAACGCGCTGTACCCGGGCCTGGACCTGGGCGTCGACAACTTCCTGGACCGCCTCGAGACGGGCGTGCTGCTGTGCAAGGTGAGTGCCTTTTGAAAAGCAGATTTACTTAGTTCAAAAGTTTTTCGAAAATCGAAACTCTTTCTGAAAAATTGGAAAAAATCAAAATATTTGAAGAAAAAGGAAACTTTAAAAATAAATAAATTAGGCTATATTAGAAATTTCTCTTTAAACATTCTCTGAAGTACTTTACCGGAAAAATTAAATTCCTGGTCGAGTGCGTGTGTAGAGCACGCCGCGTCGTGACTTCGGCGTCGCTTATCTCCTGAGGGCGGCCGCCCCCCGCTGGGTCCCCGCAAGGTCCTGATTGGCTCACCGCCGCCCTCACGCTCGGCGCGGCTCGAGTGTGTCTCATACGTGTGGCCGTTATCGCGCGTGTTCACGCTCGTGACCGCAGGGCGTGGCAGAGCGTGGCGGAGCGTGGGCGGCGGCACCGTAGCGTCCCGATACCGCGCGACCGACGCCTCTGCGGTGGCGCTTATCCGCGCCGTCATGGACCCCCTGGTCGGTCTACGTCTCGCGAGGGACGAGGGATAGAGAGGAAAGAAACACAGAGAGAGAGAGAGAGAGAGAGAGAGAGAGAGAGAGAGAGAGAGAGAGAGAGAGAGGGGGGGAGCAATTATTCACTGTTAAAAAAAATCATCGAAATAACGACAAATTTGTCGTTAAGTTTTTTAATGGGAAAAGTCGTTACATAGCGGCATTGGGTTGTTGTAGAACAACATCGATTGTTCAGTAACAACAAAAGTTGTGCAGGGACAACAAAAGTTGTTCAGGGACAACAAAAGTTGTTCAAGAACGACAAAAGTTGTTCAGGTGGAAAATAAAA